TGCAGTTGCTGCTGCACGCAGCAGCAACTTGAACATCTACGCAAACACACTGCAGCAGAAACTGATGAAACTCAATTCGTGCTGTTTCAACAGTTTCTGCAACAACAACAGCAGCAGAAGCAGCAGCAACTGCTGCAACAGCAGCAACAGCAACAGCAGCAGCAGCANGCTGCAGCTGCTGCAGCAACAGGAACGGGATACATTTGTGGGATATCCTGCTAAGCTCAAGCCAAAGCAGGGCTACCCAAACAATCAACTCAGACAAAAAGTTTCATTTTAAACGTTTCTATGCGCTTTTCATTCTACTACTGCTTCTCAACCGCTGCTGCTGCTGCTGCAGCTGCTACTGCTTCTGCACTCTCGCTGCAGCACAGCACTTGACTACACTTTACTCAGTATAGAACTGAGCTTGTCTTCATGCTGGGTTAGTGTCTAGGGTTTCTGCTCTGGTGTACGTGCAGCTGCACCAGTGTGCTGATGGCGGGGGCTCTCTAAGATGCTGCATACGGCTGCGGCTTGAGCGTTTGACTTTGATAAATTTTAATAACTAAGACGAAAAACTAACAAAAAAATGCTGCGATTTGCAGTTTCCCCCTAGAGACAAGATTTTCGTGGGGAGGTTTCGGGCCTCTGCTTCTGCAGGGAGCGTCGAGTTGCAACTGAGTCGAAGAGCAAAAGCAGTTTAAAACTCTTAAAATATATTTATTTTATTTTTGATCACTTTTTCGTTCATGAAGTAATGCAAAAGGATTCATATGCAGCTTATTGCCGCTGCCGTCTGCCGTTGCGGTGTTGTCCTGTCCAGTGGACTCCGAAACGGGTTGAAAAAAAAATTAAAATTTTCTTTTAAAATTTGGTGCAAATAAATGAAATACTCTGAAATTCATGTTTTGTGTTTTTTTCCGCTCAAAAAGAGGTATTTTAAGCCTCTATCTTCCCTTGACTCTCTCAGCTAGCCGTCAGTGTCTCGGGCAAGAAAAGTGCGATCACTGTGGAAAAAAGGCGCTTTTCACAGAATTTTTTGGATGATTTGACTTATTTTCCCTCAATATACTTATATTCAAAAGTATGAGAAAAAACACGGAGATTTAATTCATGAATTCCAGCAGCCCGGCTGCATACTGGACTCGACAGTAACATCTGGGGTGTATGCTCAGCTTTCTTGCATTGCACGGAGTGGAAAGCAGAAGTTTCTTGGGCTTAAACTTCAGTTTTATGAATTTGAAGAATCAGAAACGGATAAATATTCCCCTATTGAGCCGTGTTAATGCAGCAGATCCACAGAAACCCTGAGAGGCACGAAATATGAGGGTTCGTGTTTCCTGTTGTTTCTTTTTGTTGCCGATATCCTTGGAGCCCGTGCAAGATAGAAAGGGGTATTTGTAGCGATTGACAAGATTATTTCCTTTTCTTTATTTTGTCTTTTTACTTCAGATTCTCTCTTTAACCCTTCAGCCATCGACAGGATTCTGCGGTGCGTTCTTCTTTGCCCTTTTGCTTTCTTTCCTTTTCAAGAATCCTGGCTTCGTCCGCTTCAACTCATATTCCTCTTTTCTTCATTTCATTTGAAGTTATATTTCCCCTTCTCAGGCTCCAGCAGCTGGCGTGTCGTCGCTCGCAGTACGATGGGTGACATGAAAGACAGTGCAGCAGTTTGTTTCTCTGCAAGAAGAAACCCAACAAAAACTTTTCTTTCTCTTTCTCCTCACAATTCAAATTCTTCTTATCCTTCTCACTCGTATTCTTCTTCTCCTTCTCATGCTGCTATTTCCTCTTCTTCTTCTGCAGCAACAGACGGCAGCAGCTCGATTGGTGGGGGGAGAACAGACAGCAGGCAAATGCGCAGCAGCAGCAGCAGCAGCAGCAGCANGCAGCAGCAGCAGCAGCAGCAGCAGCAACAGCTGCTGCTGCTGCATGAGTGGCAGCAGCAGCAGCAGCAGCAGCAGCAACAGCTGCAGCAGCAGCAGCAACCGTTTCAGCAGGACTTCTTCTATCAGCAGCAGCAGATTTGGTTCTACTGCAGCAGAGGATCGTAGCATGAAGGGGCTTCCTTCTGGTTTTGTTTTTCCTTTTTGTGGTGGTGTAATAAATTATAACAGTTTATATTCTCTTTCTTCTTGTTTCTTATCTTCTTTTCTTAGTTCTATAACTCATAAACGTTTTGTATTTATTCTGTTATTCTGGTTGCTGCTGCTCAGCAGCAGCCCCATCCAGGTTGTTTCTATCAACCGCCACACATCTGCTTCTCTGCTGGTTCCTGCTGCCTTTCGCAGCAGCACTTCTGCTTCTCCCCCCCCCCAGCAGCACCACCAGCAGCAGCAGCAGCAGCAGCAGCAGCAGGAGCATGTGCTGCTGCAGGTGGGTGAGAGTCCCGCATTAAACCTTGAGGAGGATGAGAATTGTTTGGTGAGAGAAGAAGAAGTATTAGAGAACGAAATAAACCCAAAAGAAGAAAAAGAAATAAAAGCATATCAATGGGCTGAACATAACAACGATCAGGTGTATGTACAGGAGTCTCTTAAAGCCTATCAAACAACAGATACACCCGGAAGAGAAAGAGAATTTATATTAAGTTTTAAACTCCCCCAGAACATAGCCGACACAACCACCAGCAGCAGCAGCAGCAGCAGCAGCAGCAGCAGCAGCAGCAGCAGCAGCAGCAGCAGCAGCAGCAGTGGGGGTGCGTTTCTTGTATTAAAAAAAAACTGGGATGGGGCTCTACATGGATGGAAATGTGAAGAACATGTGTTGCAGTTGATTCGTCTTTCTGATGAAAAATATTTACAAGGGAGAAACAGTGCAAGTGAAACAGAAGATAAAGTAGAGATAGAAATAGATCAGAGTTTAGGTGTATATACACTCGATATATCGAAATTAATATATAATAAAGGACTAGCAGGGGGTTCGTTTCATGTATTAGTTAGAGAGAAAAATAAAAACTGTTTATCTGCTTTCTCTACACCTACAGATGAAAAAAACCCACCTATACTTAAAATACAAACCGAAATAAAAGATAATATAGATGCTGTTTATGGTGATTGGGGTCCTCTTAGTGCTTGTCGCTTACCTTGTGTTTCATCAGTAAATTATAGTTGTAGAAAAAGAGTATGTACACCCGGAAAAAACGAAGGAGCTGCCTGTACACCTGAAAAAATGATAGATAAATTACCATGCTCAGATATTCATGTTTCTTCTTCTTGTTCTTGTTCTATTCTAAACCAAACAAATGCATGCCCCCTCAACTCTTATTGTGATGATTCTTCATTTAATAATGTTTACTGTAACTGTAAAGGAGGCACCTTTGTTAAACTAAACGCCATGCAAAAAACCACTTGTCAGATAGGTACATAAACCCTAAACCCTAAACCCTAAACCCTAAACCCTAAACCCTTAACAAGCTTATATATATATATATATATATATATATATATATATATATATATATATATATATATATATATATATA